TTTTTAAGGCTAAAGTTAAGATCTTGCTCTCATTGCTTTGTAGAAAGGTGGTCATAAAATATTATTTCATGTGGTCGGTACTAGACACTAAGCCTTGCACTAGGACATAAAAAGGTGATGAAGTTACTTATAAGTAATTTGATGTTCCTTCTACATGGTGCAACATGTCAAACCAATAGTGAATAAGGTGATTAATCTCTTTAGCTCTCACTTGTTACTCATCATCCTTAAGAATTTAAAGTTGTGATCCAGTGTGGTATCCAACATGTGAAACCCAAGCTCACAGTTCAAATATGTAGACTATTACACTAGATTAGAGCTTCAAATCCTTAGACTTGAAGCAAGATAAATGGCAGCTTAGACTTTCCCACCTCATGCTTTAAAGGATGACATTGCATATGATTATGAGACCAAAAAGTTACGAATAAACATCTTATTCTTCATCTTGTATTGTATGACAGACCAATATTGACTGCATGTTAGAAATAATATTTGTCACCTTTCTATCAACTAATAAGAGTAAAGTCTTAGTTTTAAAGAAAGATGAAAATAATCAAAGGAGGTATAAGTCACCTCCTTGGCAATCGATGAGAGATCTCTTCTCGTACTCGTTTTGGGCATTTTTTGAGCTATTTTCAAACCAAACCATTTTAGATGGTTTGAAAATTCCAAACCAAACCCAAGTATTTCACTTTCCAAATCAAGCCAAACTGTTTTTTGCAGTTCGATTTGGTTCCAAACCATGGTTATAGTGATATAAAAGATAGAATCTTTCAAACAAATGAAAAAATTATTATATTGGTGTGAAATCTCAGTATCACACTTAATTTGAAACCTTCTAAATTTAAATGCTGTAATACAAATATATGTGTCTTGATACAAGCTTTAACTAATAAATCAAATATCAGGTTCAACAATACAATATGAGCTTGCAGATTTATTTTGTTTGAAATAGATAAGAAAATATTCTCATAAATTATCTTTCCCCTAGAAAGCCAATAGAACCCTCTAGCATATAAATTGGTAAAATTTTATAGTATAAAATTGAGCTAATAAATTATATATTTTGGGTAAAACAAATAGTTTTTTAAAAAAAATAAATAAATAAAATTGAGCGAACAGTTTGGTTTGATTTTTAGCAGTTTTTAGCAATCAAAACCTAAATCAAATCATTTTCAAATGGTTTAGTTTGTTTTGAATGTAATGTTCCAAATTCTAGGAACCCGATGCATTACCAAATATGGATTTCTTAATGTGCTTAAAAAATAAATTTTAATATAATTACTTATTCAATAAAAATTGAACAACATTTAATAAAAGATAAATTTAATTTAATAAAATATTCGGAATGTTTTGGAATCATATCATATCTTTCATTAAAACATTAATAAAACTAGTTCTAACATGCAATAAAATTATA